ACTGGTATGCTGCTCCCAGGCACCACTTTTGTAATCCTGGTTTCATCCCCATTGCCCTTCAAACCTAGTTTAAAGCCCTATGAATGAGCCCTGCTAATTCTTGTCCCAGGATCTTTCTTCCCCTACAGGTTAGTCTATCCCCACCTGTTGCCAGCATGCCTGGTTTCCTGTAGAGCAGCCCATGATCAAAGAAGCCAAAGTTCTGCTGGATGCACCAGCCTCAGAGCCAGGAGTTAATTTGCTGGCTCCTCCTATTTATCCCCTCATCATCTCCGGCAAATGGTAGGATAGAGGAGAACACTATTTGTGCTCCTGATCCCTTAACCAGCCGTCCCAGTGCCCGAAAGTCATTCTTCATTACCTTTAGACTTCTGGTACCTACCTTTTCACCACCTGCCTGAAATATCGGTAGTGGGTAGTAATCTGATGTCTGAACCAGGGAAGGGAGTTTTCTCCGTCTGTCCTTAACTCTGGCCCCAGGGAGGCAGATGACTTCCCTGTGGGATGGGTCAGGTCTACAAATAGGGCCCCTGGTCAGTCTTATTTTCATTTGAAAGCATAGTTGCACTTTCATATTTGCACATTATAGGTTATGGAGTTGCATATACAATACTATAGCTTGTGTCAGGAAGCATTTTGTTTCATTTCTTCCCGTGCCATCTTTCCTGCTGCAAATTATGACTAGGAAAAGCTGCCTTACAATTGCAACTGAAGGTCAAGGTGTGCTAAAAACTGGTCCAAAACTGCAGTTTTGTATTCATGCAATTTGTGTACAAACAGGAATATCCTGGGCCCGATTTCTGTCACTCTTTTAAAATTGAAAGGAATTTTTAAATTATTTTGGCAATGGTATACAACAATTTCTTTGAGATTTTGTGGAAACAAACCTAATGACTTTATCTATAGCATTTGATAGCTTTCTCTATTACCGCAATCATGAAAAAGTACAGAAACACTACTAAACACCAAAAGAGAAGCTGAACTTGGGTAGAAGTGACACCATCTTGAAATGCTTGCATTTCATATTGCAGCACCCACTAAAATGATAAATACCTTTCCACTCTTGAAAAATATATAATAAATGGTATCTTTAAATGTCAAAAGTTAAAATTAGTATAAAACCCCAATCCTGCAGAGAAGTCTGACAGCTTCATGCCCTTATGTGGAGTTCACCTGGAGTCAGACATGTCTAGTCACAGTACGTAGCCTGCAGAATCAAGGTTTAATGCAATGTAAATATGCAGTTGAGAGATATTCTCATGTACATATTTACATACGATGAATATCTGCTATATATATATCATTTATCTCTGCCTGAATTCATGTTGATTTTGTTTATGATAATAAACAGTATAAGAAAATAGTATCTAGAGGCTCTCAAAAGGAATAGCAATACTTTAAAATACACAGTTACAAAGGCATCCAAAATGTGGAAGAGGCAAACGCTACCTAAGCTGCAAGATATAAGGTATTGGTTTCATATGAGATAACAGACAAACAGATCCACCTTTCAAATGAGAAGACAAACATCAGGGAAATCCTACAATGAGCTAAGAACAATGGGCAGAAAAGGTAAAGTAAGGAGAAGATTTTTAAACCTGTCATGTTCAACCTTCCAATTGATTGTTTCCTTCCTTCATCCTCTTTCACTTTCCTTTCCATTTCCATCCTTCTTCTTCATATTTTCCTGCTAGATTTTTTTCTAATTATTTTCAAACTAAGTATTTTTTTGCCTGAGAAAATTGTAAGAAATTACTCAGTACTCCATACTTACACAGAGGACAGAAATGAGAAACCAGATAACAGTTTCCAAAACCTTTGTTTTTGCTTTACAGTTGCATGACAAAGTGAACGACCAAGCCTTATAAAGGATACTTACAAGCACTTCTTCTGTTATACATGGAGGCTCTGAAATAAAAAAATGAAGTATCGTATGTTATCCAAGCAATACAATCAAGCTTGTTTAACTATGATTACTGAACAGAAACAAAAAGTAGTGAGCCATGACAGCCTTCCTGGATATTCTGAAATAAAATAACTCGGCCTGAGGAAACAAAATAAACTCTAAGAACATGCAGTAATGTTGACCCATGCATAAAAAGGTTGAGTATCACAAGAATGATTTAAATATAATTAAAGTATTATTTAACTAGATTATTTCACACACATATCAGTTAACTTCTTGTCAGCTTTCCTCTGCAAAATTGATTACTAGAAGCTTGCTGGCTTTAAAGAAAATACAGATTTGTATGAGACTCTGGGAGCTTTGAACAGTAAATATTATGAATCGTATGATAAAATTCCAAAAAATGCAATTGTGGGTGTTCCCAGATAACCAAATCTCACTCGTTCTCGGAAAATATTCCACCTTTTGTGGTGCCATTTGAAGGGACTAAAGTTCTCTCTTCAGATTGATAAATTTTGCTGGGCACGTTTAAACCTAGCAGTTCAAAATCTCCCTCTTTTGTATCACCACCTGTATACCTGAGACAATCGCCCTGAGGTCAGACCCCCTGTCTGACACAGAGTCAGTCCACCACCCTGCGTGGAAAGCACTACATACCAGTGGTAAGCCTCTTCGACTGCATCCTGCATCTGCACACGTAAGGGCCGGCATCCACACCTGCATGCTTACCACCTCATTTGCAAAGGTGAAAGCCTTGGCTGCAGACCAGAAATAGAAGTTGCAGAGTTCCTGGGCCTGCCTGGGGACTGCTGGTCTGCACCAGGGCAGGCTGGCTCCGCTGCGTGGCTCACAGCAAGCGGGGTTGCTATGGCACTGCAAACAATGCACAGGAAGAGCTGAGCAGTAAGCAAATACTTCCACTGCTGATGCGAGGCAGACTCAGATACCAGCCACGCTGCTGATATGGTGCCCAGAGATGGCTGTGAACTAGCAGCTTGAGGATATTTGCAGCAAGAAATGAAATTAAATGCTCTTTTCTCCACTGGCCTAGGCAGTTCTTAGTCCAAAATGATATTCTATGTTCTCTTACATTGCCAAAACCCTCCAGCCATGTGAGATTTTGCCTTTAAAAAAAAAAAATCTCAAAACATATGACTAATGACCAATGGATTTACATCATCTATCAAATAATTCTGCATCCATAAGACAACTATGAGACTTGATCCCAAGTAACAAAGTCAGTCTTATCTATGGTAAAGAACTTCCACTGCAGCTAAGTAAGAAAAGGCAAGGAGCTTCATATTGCTATGGCTGAGATGAAACCTGGGCTGTTTCCTAACATCATGCCATCGCGACGTACCAGAAACACAACCTGCAGCCTTGGCAACAGCCTTCCTCCTGCTGCCAGGGCCCATACCTAGCAGAAATCCAAAGGCAGCTGCATTTTCGCTCAGTTAGGGAGTTTATAAATAGTGTAGGTGGAAAAAGAAAAGACATTAAGAGACATGGAAGAGAGTCTGCTCCCAGATTGTTAGTTTCTTCCTTGGCTCAAGGGGGTACCCCAGGATATAAGAGAAAGTCACATTTCTGGTATGGTCAGCTAAAGCTGTGTACAAAGAAGGAATTCAGGCTCCTATATAGAGTTTTCAGTGGTCTTCATATGTTCCACAGTTGGGATCTGAAAACATTCTACCTAGTATGTATCTGATCCTAGAACTGCTTAAGTTCTTCAGGTACCTTCAGGGCTTTTGGCGTGAAAGTTCCCTCAAAGGTTCTACTGCTGCTCATTTCCAGAACAGCACTGATTTCAGTAGCTTGGCATAAAACCCACTGGGATCAGTTGTACAAGATGTCATGTATGCAAGTTACATGAAGGGCTCGTTTGAGAAGCCTAACCCATCAGCTGTGCTAAGAAAGTGCCCAAAATGCACCAAGAGCTTCCTATTCCCAGTAAACTCTATCATTTGTGCCCCCTTTCACAGAACTGTTTAGTATCTTCAGTCATGCTCTTAAACTGTGGGGAAAAAATAATTTAATTCATACATGACTTTGGTGGAATCCATGATCAAGTAAAAACAGAACAAATGCACATGCTCAGGAACTACAGCTTAAATCCAAGGAAATGACCACTGTCAAAAACAAACAAGCAGCAAATCAACTATTGTAGAGGCAGGGAAAATGGCTTCATCTCCTAGAAACACATGGTATTTTGCACCCTCTACTCAAGATGTACATTCCCACTCATGGGGGTGCCAGCCCAAATACCACAATCACTGCTCTAACTACTAAATACCAGGATAGTGTCTCTTCTGATTATCTTGGTGGAACGCTGTTAGCTGTCTGATTAGCTTTTTAGGGTGAAGTGTTTTGTGAGGGTTTTTTTCACCTAAGGGAAAAACAGTATTTCCAAAGACCTAAGAGAGAAGCTGAACAATATCATAGCCAAGATACGCATTTCAGCCAAAAGTTTTATATGTATGAAAAGCATATTCAACAGAAGCAAAGAATAAAATATAAAGATTCAATCTTAAGTGAGCTATGGACTATTTAAATAGCATGATTCTGCTCTGTATTCTGATGAAGTACTAACTACACTTAAGTTCTCCATATGAAAATTCTGTTCAATAAGACATGACAAACAATAGGTTAAAACTGAATGGCATACATTTAAACACATGATTTCTTAGTGCCATATATCAGGACATGTTCTATTGTGCTTATGAAATATTTCAAATAGGTATACCTAATGTAATAGAAATATGTGTAACAAGATAGTCCATAAAATGTAAAGTGAAAACTTTCCAACAGATAGAAGAACTGCATTGCCTCATAACTAAAGTACTTAATATGATTTCAAAAGGTTAAAGTAATGTTCATGCCACTCCTTTTCCCCCTGCCCCTTTTTCTTTCTGTTGTGGGTTTAGGTATAGTCTTTGGTGTATACTATTCTCCTAAACTTCCCACATTACTTGTAATTTTTGAAGAAAAAAACAACAACAGGAACATGACAAATGTGTCTTTTTAAAAACTAGAAATGGAAGCCACAAGTCAGCTTAGATAAAGTTTGGAAATGAGTAAATAAATTTTAAAAAAAAAAAAGGTACTTTTTCTCTATTTCTGTCATCTGGTATATTTTGGTATAAAACTCACAAAACTCTTAGGTCTTCATTTTCTTTTTATTGTGCTTCAAAGATTGCATTTTGGATTAAGCTCATCAGGAAATACATACTGTACTCTCTCACGGAGAATCTATTAGCAGTCATTATCACTTTCTCATTACCTTAGTTAACAACACACATTTAGGTCAAATATTTTGTGTGTGTGCATTTCAGTCCTGATCTTATATTGCCAGTTAAATGTTCACCAGCTGGTGAAGCCGAGTTCTAAAGATTAAGCTCATTTTCCTCCTTTTCCACATTTTTCTCTTTCCATGCGCTTCTCATATTTTCATTCTGATGATTGTTTACCTTTGCAGAACTGCAGACCTACAGAATGCTTCATAAATATAGTCAAAGCCATGATCTATGCCAAAAAGCATCTAATCTTGTAGAAAAGATGAATGCCTAGACAGGATGGAGAATAAATTCTAAAATAGGTGATACCAGTAAAACTGTAGACAAGACAAAGTAAAAGGACTAGAAGTATGTTTCAAGTTATTAGCATTTTGAGAGAATAGTAATCTAGCAGAAGGCCAGCACAGGAAGATGTCTGCGCAAGAAGGCAGATGGGAGGAAAACATAAATTGGTCCTCCTCATCCCTGCTGGCATCTCCCTCCTCTGCTCATTACTGAAAAGCCATTTGGAGAGGTGAACCTTCAGTCAAGACTTAAATCTGTCATTGTCCCTTTCCTCCACGCTCCTCAGAAATTTATGCTTTCAATGATTTACCAGGGAAAGTGCTTCAAAGTATCATCCAGGCAAATCAAATCGAAACTGCTGAGACAACTTTTCACTCAAAGAAACAAGTGTATAAGCTATGCCAGCTCGCTAGGTGAACAAGACTCCTCCTTCATGACTTGCTCGAGTAAAGACAAGATATAAATTGGCTTGCTTTATTAAATTCACATTCACACTTGTGTTTTTAGGTGCTAACCAGTATTTGATTCCTGGCAGTGGTCACAGTGAAGTCATTAACATCCCCACAACTAAGCATTCAAAAAGTAGCAAATACTATTAAAAAAAAAAATGCAGACTGGCATCTAGAGGGATCTCCAAGGGCACCTATGAACTAATTCTCATCAATTTTCAATAGAAACACCCCAACTCAGATACAGGTGGGCATTTCATCACATGATATCTTTAATATCTAGATATTATCTTTACAGAAATCCAACTTTACTTAAATGAGAAATTTACTCTTTCTTGTTTGGATGATTGCCACATACATTTTAGCCTTTGCTGCTTTCAGATGCAATCTCATAAACTGGAAACAGGTGCTAGGAAACCTATTTAAATATTAACTGCAGAATTGCCAAAATGGGAGTCAGATCCTGAGAGGAAAGCACAAATTGATCGTCAGATAGCTGGCCCTTAAGTGCCTTAAATTATTCCGCTGGCAAAATGGCAGAAGCTGCCTGTTGTAGTAGTACAGCCTCTGTGTTGAATCTGATAGTTCTGGTTTACAGCACAGTTTAATGCAATTCTGTGGCTGTCAGAAAAAGTCAATGCAGACACCCGAAAAAAGAGTTATTGGGAATGAGAGCTCAGAAGAATTCTGAAAGGAGAAAAAGAGAAACCAACATTCCTGAAGATAGTCTAGGTAAAGAGAAAAAAGAAAGTACTTAAAAATAAAATAGGAGAGGCTAAATAGTAAAGGAAGGGATGTGACATAGCTCTGGTCTATCAACATTAGAAAGCTTTTGCTAGTGGAGGAGACTGTCAGAGAGAATGCAGGTCCAAAGAGCTTGACCTCTACAAAAGTCTCCATTGGCTTCGTCACTGGAGATATTCCTAGGCTTGTCTGTGTCACCAATAGCCCAAGGATTCCTATAGCAACCTTATTCTACCAGGACAAGGCAGAGGTGTTTTATCAAGTTTAAAGACTTTAAATAAAGTTTAATTTCCTTTTGCTTAGTATGGGTCTTGGAAAAGATAGAGGCAATACAGAGGCATACCCAGAAAGAGAATTGGAATTTGGAAGGACCATTTAACAATTTGTGATATACATTTGTACTCTTGCTAGCTCGTACATGCCAGCTACCTGTTTCATACCTGTGGTCATCTGATGCCTTCAGAAATTCATATTTGTGTCTTAAGATATAATTGCTAAAACTTTATGAGAGCATTACACTATCTTTTTTAATTTTGGAAAGGAGCATTAAAACTTAATTGAAAAAACTCTTCAGCAAGATTGTGGCAGTTTGAAGAAGTGTATTAAAAATAAAGTCATTCTGTGAAGACAATATGAAAATCAGGAAAGAACTGCTAGAGCCACAGCTATCAAACCACATACAAGATAAAAAAATTGGCATGGGGTCTAAGTTTACAGCAAGGCAGAGTTTATTGCTAGCAGCCCTACTACAGTTAACATAGCATAGCTTTCACCTGAAACATAAGATACAGATCAGAAGAAACTATGACAGTTATATCTCACAGAGATTTCACAATCAGGGGGAGTATCAAATTTTGGCATTACGTACAAAAGATTGCATTGTCACTGTCTATTCTCCACTTTTCATGTAG